ATACAAAATTATCAACCAAAAAATTAGCTTCCTATCAATTACTGAGTTTCAACAACTGCCTGCAGCTGCCCTGGCAGGTACAGACAAGATTTTCCAAGCCGCGTTTGGGCCACAGTCCCAATGTTTCGCGCCCCTGCATTTGACTCTACATTTTGCCTTTTGTGTTTTCAACACACACCACAATTCTGAATGTTACACATTTAATTTCCTTCTCAACATTAGCTTTAAAAGGTATTTAAAAGTGAAAATTGGACCCGGCGTGATAGCGTAGTGGCTAAAGTCCTCGCCTTGCATGCACCAGGATCCCATATGGTCGCCGGTTCTCATCCTGGCTGCTCCACTTCCCATCCAGCTCCCTGCTTGTGGCCTGGGAAAGCAGTCGAGGATGGCCCAAAGCCTTGGGACCCTGCATCCATATGAGAGACCTGGAAAAGCTCCTGACTCCTGGCTTCTGATTGGCTCAGCTCGGACCGTTGTGGTTACTTGGGGAGTGAATCATTGGATGGAAGATCTTCCTCTCTGTCTCTCCTCCTTTCTGTATATCTGCCTCTCCAATAAAAATAAATAAATCTTTAAAAAAAAGTGAAAATCACTGAAAGTCACTCAACTGTTAATGTTCCAACAGCCACATTTAAATTCATAAACTTTTTCTGATACACACAGCACAAACTAAAATCAGGCTAATTAGGATATACAAATGACATACAATGTGTTATTCCTTTTCACTATTCCAATGTTTAAAACCAAAGTAAAAATAATAAATTTAGTTTTCAAGTGCAAAAGGGAGAATTAAAGCCACATTTATTCCTCCAAAATATGGATGCACACATACCAGGATAAAAAAAAAAAAGAGATGAAACGGAGGCTCTATTTAGTGTCAGAGCTTTTGTAGCAATATTCAAAGCCAAAAAAAAAAAAATCTTTGCCATATTTTACAGAAAAGAAGCAGAACCTAGAATATTCAACCAAGCAAATCATAATTCAAGTATTAAGGCAATAACTACTTTCAAACAAACCAAAAAAGGAAATAGAGCAGCCACAAGTCTTTCTTAAAGGAAAAACAAAGACAAAACAAAACAAAACAAATCAAAAAAAAAAAAAAAAAAACACACCACAAACACTACTTGCTGGAAAAAAAAAAACTAGTCATTTAAATAGAATATAAATCGAAACACTGGATTTTTTTTCCAGTCTTGTTTAATGCTGCATTCACAGCTTATAAAACACTGTTTGGCACTGAATAGGTGCTGAAAATGTAGTGACTGAATCCATAAACCAAAAAATTAATTACAACAAAATAATGAAGAAATCACAGTAAGGAACTAGTAATGGCCAATGAATCTTAAATTTAAGAATTGAAAAGTCTGATCATAGAGCAGAATAAAACTAACATTTTTAATAATATAAAAAGAGAAATTTTAGGTTTCTGACAAGATACTGTATTGACATAGGAGCTACATCTATGTTACCCAGAAATAATGTTGGAAGAAGCGTAAGGCTATGAATCCTGTGGAAAAATGGAAGAAGTGCAAGAACTCCTACATGTTATGTTTGGATAAATTTGGGGGTGGGGTGTATGAATATCAGAAGAAAAAATAACAAAAAGGTTACAATAAATTTTCAAAAGACTAGCTGGCATTTAGGTCCAAACTCTCTCCTGTACTGCCTGCGCTACTCAGCGCCTGCCTCCTGGGCACAGAGACCTTAGCATCCACGCTGTATGGACGGAGCTCCACCTGCACAAGCCACCAGCAAGGTGCGCTGCTGCCAGGGAGTTCAGGGGAACAAGGAGGGGGTCTACAAACTTCAGGCAGTGACTTTCAACCATTCAACTCAAAATCTGCAAGGCTGCTCTTTACCACCTAGGGACAAGATATTTTTCCAATTTTCTTATGCCTGGGATGTCAAAGTAAAGCTCAAAATATGAACAGTGACACACGGAAGGTGTTTATTTGTGCTTTTTAATATTTTGTTTAGGATATCTGGGTCCTGTGACAAACTGAAACAACAGACTAGTATGATATAATCCGAAAATTAAAATATCACAAATAATAAATACTAACTTACTGTAAAGCTAAGAAATATTACTTGATTTGGCCAGCACTATGAAACAGCTCGTAAAGCCACTGCCTGCAATATTTATAATGCATATGATATACAAAACACTCACCAAATTATGTATACAGTAAGAAAAAGGCAGCCATTTAGGAGAAAAAAATCAGGAAAAACATGAATAGGCAAATTATAAAATAAAGTATTTAAATGGCAAAAAAGAACAGTAAACTGTAAAAAGATGAACAATCTCATCTGAAATAATGGAAAATTGAGATTAGAATAAATTATTTTTTGCTTACCTACAAGAAAGGCTAAAATAAGAATAGTGAAGATTTAGAACAGCTGGGACTTGCATACTACCAGCAGAAGATACGACTACTGCAGAAAGCATTTACCAACTGCCACTACAGCCAATCACACGAATACCTTATGACTCAGCAATACTGCTCCTAGATATCCCAAGTGTGTGCCAGTATGTGCCATAAACAATACCCAAAACAGTACTCTTCACAAAGCAGCAAAATACTAAATTGGCAAGCAACTCAAATGTTCATGTATAGTTTAAAAAAAAAGGTATTACATTCACAATAGAATACTATATATCAAGGAAAATGTACAAAATATATATACACTTGCAATAATATCATTGGCAGGTTTCAGACATAACATTTATCAAGACTAAACACTATAAATTCAACAGTGGGTTTTAATCCATGACATTCTATTCCAAGTTAGTGGTAAGGAGATAATAATAAACAAGAAGCAGGACAAGGATGTCTTTGGGTAGTCAGTGATGTATGCTGGCACCACAGCCAGACTGGCATAGCTGTGTTAAGCAAACTGGGACAACTGCATTTGGTATTAGAGTGGCTGGGTTGAATCCTGGCTCAGCTTTGGCTTCCCCATCCACCTTCTGCCACTGCACACCCTGCAAGGCAGTGGGTGATCCCATCACGTGGGAGGCCCAGAATGAGTTTCAGATTCCTGGCTTCAATTTGGCTCAGCCCCAGCTACAAGCATTTGGAGAGTGAACCAACAGATGGATGAGTTGTTTCTGTCAAGTAAAAAACAATTAATTTAAAATTTACTGATTTATGAGTTAGTATCCAAGGTTTACTTAAAAAAAAAAGTTTATTAAGCCAGAAGCGAGAAACCCTAAAACTTTACTATTGAGACAACAGTTTGGGAGTCCCCTACAGGCCTATCTGTTGAAGGGGTAGAGGACCTCTTTTCTGCCAGGAACCACTTGGGTATTTATAACATCATTCACAGGCCACACAAATCCCTCAGCTTAAAAATTTGTCTCCTACAGATTTGTTCAATGTTGAGTTCCATCTGCAAAGGTCTTGGCAGGGCCAGTCGGAATTATTTTTGTGGGGCTTATACCTCAGGCCAGACGTTCCCTGGCCAGATTAAGAATGGAATTTAATTCAATCATGGTGCCTGGCAGGCTTTAGCATTGATTAGATTGCTGGGTGGCTTCCCATGATGGAATCATGTTGGCTTTGTAAGAACTCATGTCCTTCTCATTTCCTGGCTCCACATGTCTATCCTTCCTCCTTACCTCTTCCAATATCCACAGCCTCTGCCGACACCAAGCCAACAAGGTCACCCAATCCTGGACTATAAACTTCTTTCCAAGGACTTTAAGAATGATTTTTATCTGGTTAGTTCAGATGTCTGTAATTCAAAATTCTATTTAAGTAAATACCCAAGTTTTGCATAATCCTCAGATATGTGAAGGAAAGTTTATTTGCATCCTTCCTTGGAATCATTTATCCGGAATCATGAAATAATTACTTGAGCACTTGCTCCTATGTTAAGAATCTAGTGCGGGGTCTTGTCATTTGCTAAGCCATCGTCACGAGCTGAACAAGCACCCTCTTAATACGAATTTCTATGGAAAATCATAACCACTTCTACTAACTTCTCCACGAGTTGACCAGTTCAGTTGTATCCCCAATTATATCTACACTCAAGAGAACTACTACGACTTTGTGGAACACATCTTCAGTGTATGCTCCTGGCAAGCTTTGAGAAACCAGTAATTCTTTAAGCTTCTCAAATACAGCCTTCCTAGAAACAGCACCTCTCCTTCCAACATGCTACTTACTGTTCTTATCTCTAATGCAAGGGCTTAGCAAACTTTTCCACAGCGCTTCAGACTTTAGGCCTATGAGCCTTATTGTCTTGGTGGCAAGCACGCAACTCTGTTGTTATAAAGTGAAAACAGCTAGACAGTATGTAACTGAACTGCTGTGGCACTACTTTAATAAAAATATATTTACAAAAATAGGCTGCCACTTCATGAGCCAGAATTTGACAACGGAGCTCTAAACAAAACTGATTTCACATATCAGCACCATTATAATTATCCTGAAATTGTAAGAAAAATAAATACTGAAACCATAAATTAAGTTCAACATAGTCATCAATTAAAGCTGAATTATACACATAAATGTTTTGGAAACAATGTGGCAATAACTGTAAAAAGAGAAAAACTCATTATTTATTGGTAAACCACAAAAATTGACTAGAACATATTTACTGATAATTGCAGATAATTAATTATCCTCCTCCAATTATGAAAAGAGATCATTTAAAAATAATATCAATATGCAGAAGACTAATAAACATGTAATTAAATATACAGACAGCTAAATGTGAAAAACCTAAACAATACATAGTAATAGTGATATTGTGGTGATTTTCATTTTTGCTAATTTTGCTTAAATTACATATGAGTCTGTAAAAAGCAAAAGAAAAAGTTTCTATAAGTCAATGTCAAAAAAAAGGTAGTTCTATCACTGCTAGAACTTTTATTTTAGTCTGGCACTAAAAATATTTACACTTTAATTAATAAAAAATTCAACTGTCCCATAAAATAAACTTTTAAAAATTATATGCTGGTATTAATTAAATACATAATTAAAACTTTTATTTACCTGTCGGTTCCTTTCATCCATTATGCGTGTGATTTGTATTTTCTTCCGCCCCATTTTCAGGCACCTTTCTTCCTTTATACACCAAATACTTAATTCAAAAATTAATGTTCTTCAATACCCTAATGCATTATACAGTTTCTATTATTTCAGCTTTTAGTCCAGGGCTACTGAAACTTTCTGTAGTATCTAAAAGAAAACACAAAGTAGAAGATTTAAGTTTGATAAATTTACAGGTCATAAAAACATACAAGCTTCCAATTTGCTTTGATGATACACATGGGCACTACTTGAAACTTGTAATTTTATAAAATTAGAACATTACAGTTTTGTTCAGTTTATCCCTAAAATATCTCTTAAACCACCTGTGCCTCTGTCTCTGCCTAAACTGATGGGATTTTAACATGTGAGCTCTCTTCAGACATATAGTGACAGTACAACCAGGGCTAGGTTTGTGGCAGAATGGGTAAAGCCACCACACGGATGCTGGTTTGTGTCCCAGCAGCTCCACTTATGAGCTAGCTCCCTGGTACTGGCCGGTGAAAAGCAGTGCGGGATGGTGCCAGTGTCTGGGCCCCTGCCACCAAATGGGAGGTTTGGAAGAAACTCCCTCTCCTGGTTTTGACCTGGTGACCGTGGTCATCTGGGGAGTGACCTAGCAGACAGAAGCTTTCAGTCTTGTCTCTTCCCTTCTCTGTAACTCTTCCAAATGAATAAACAGTTTTCAAAACTAGTAACACTAAAAGACAATATTGATTGTTTTCCTATGCCCCAGGTTTTTTCCAATTACAGATATGTCTTAACTCATTCAACTGTAACTGCGATCTATTCTGTTAGTTAACATCATCATCTCCATTTTATAAACAGGGAACTACAACACTGAAAAAGCTACAGTGAAGAGCAGGGTATGGGGTTGAAGTGAAGGAGTCTGTCTCCACAGGTTCTCTTCTTTGTACAATATACTTCAAAGTACCCCGTGGTCTTCATGCCAAAGCACGCACTAACACAGGTAGCCTCGATCTGCCTTTACAAATTTTTCTTGCCATTGGCAAAGCCGCTATAGGTCAATTCACTAGCATACAGTAGTAATGTGCATAAATGAGACACTGTTCATCCGGCCACTGAAAGCATACTCCTTAGTCAGGCTGGAGCGCTCATGTCGTCTCTGACACGGCACCTCCAAGTGCACGGGTGTATGTGTCTGTGTGTGTCAAGTCTGAGCAAACTTTCCTCTGCAACAGTGAATCATTCCTGATTATTAAAAAAATCAAAGTTTTCTTTGCTGCATTCCTCTCTGAGATGGAATGACAGGCAATGACATAGTTTTTCATTCTTTGAATCATGATTTTAAAAAACCTAATATTTTGAAACTTACATAATAAAAATAACAATTAGGAAAATTAATAAATATTAAAACATAACAAAAAAATCCTGAAGATTTTACTTAAGTATTTTAATACTATACATATTATCTACAACCTTCCATTGCACTGTGCATATCTAGCGTTTGTTAAAACTGGCTCTTGTGCACAGTAACCCTCTCCCTTCACTTCCAGCACTACTGCCAGCACAGCATTTCAAGATCTTCTCTTATTCATTACCTCTTTGCTCATTAACTGATCATCTAATAACCAATATCCTAATAACAGATCTCCTACTTGACAAATGTGCTTCCAAACAAATAAAACTTAGTATCAGGGGTTGGCACAATGGCATAGTGCACCAGTCCTCAGCCTGTGGTGCTGGCATCCCATATGGGCGCTGTTTCAAGTCTCAGCTGCTGCACTTACAATACAGCTCGCTGCTAAAGGCCTGGGAGAGGAGCAGCGGGCCACCTGCACCCATGTGGGACACCTGGAAGAAGCTCCTAGCCCCCAGCTGCACACTGGCCCGGCTCTGGCTTCCGTGGCCATTTTGGGACTGTACCAGTGAATTCAAGATTTTTTTTGTTCTCTTTCCCTCCCTCCCTCAAACTCTCAATCTCTCTCTCTGTAATTCTGACTTTCCAGTAAAATAATTAAATCTTTTTTTAAAAAAAAATATTATTCTTCATACAAATTCCTTGTATAATTAAAAAACAAAAAGTTAATCAAATGTAAATTTATGGGTCAGAAAAGGATTATCCAAGGATGTGCTTAATATCAAACCTCAGTATGAGGGGCTACATCCTAGGCAGGAGAACACAAAAGACAAAAGAAAGCAGGAAACAGAAGAACCACAATATGGCCAGTCACGAGGGAGGACGGAATCAAACAAGCTGTGGCCTTGACGAACGCTTACTTCCTCAGCAGACCACAAAATCAACGCAGAGGCTGGCCAATTGCAAATCATGTTTCCTAAGAGATAACACTGCATCTAAATCTAAAGCTTGCACTGAACTAGTGGTCCAAAATATTCACTGCAGACATTCCTGCTAAGGTATGCACGATTCGTTAACACATTTAAGATGCACGGACTGTTCTACTCCCCAATATCTGAATAATTCTGAATTCTAAAACATATCTGAGCATTTTGATTTTGACAATGTTAGCACAGACTACTTCTAAACAGCGTTTGGAGAACTAGAAAAGCAAAACAAAAGGCAGTTTCAAACTACTGGATAGTTTTAAGATCAGTGATGGGCATAAGCTTTGGACAATACAGATGAGAGAACCCATGAGCAACATTTTACCCACAGATTCAAGAACTAGTGGCTTTAGAGACTGAAAACGTGAATAAAACTTGCAAGATACATAGGTAGCAACAACAACAATTAAACCCTTAAGATTTGGGGCCTGTCCCGAGGATGTGCTGGGCAGAATCAGGCTGCACTGCAACACCCATTGGTTCCAGTGGAAGACAGGGATGGAAATAGAACCAACCCAGCAATTGCAACCACCAGTTGATTGAGGTGATGGACTGTACTGGGCCCTGTACTTGCAAGTACACACAAGAATCTGGTCTGGGAACACCTCAGACAAAGTTTCTTTTGGGATCTCCCCAATCGAGCTGCCGGACTCAGAACCCATGGTTTACCATGGAGTGCAAGTGCCAGAGCCGAGCTTCCTCAGAGGCTCTGACAAAGCAGTGGAGAGCATAACCAGGTGCACATGGAGGATATGGCAGTCTGTCGGAACCTGCAGAGGATACCTGGCATCACAACAGAGGACAGAACAAATCAATCAACTACCTCAGCCATACATTAGCAGTGAAAAACTGGGCAGAGACTGTAAGGTGGACTATGTCAACCAGTGGATTCTGCAGCAACTTCATTATGCTTGGAATAACGAGATCGGCAGCAATTCCTAACTGCTGGACTTTCAAAAACACTTGAGCAAGACCCTCAGAGCATGCACCACATCGGGGACCTGGGATGGGTGGGAGACATGTGGGGCTTCTCCCTTTATCTCCTCCCCTTCACCCCAGACACAGGAAAAAAAACAATGTGGAAATAATAGTCTTAACCACAAAAAAAAAAAAGAAAAAAGAAAAAAATAAAAGATAAGATTTGGGACCTGTCAAGAAGAAACAGCCGTAGTAAACATACCGAATACCAGGAGACTGCAAAGGACTACACTCTAGGCATACGGCTAAGCAGCAGACAGACCAGCCTACACACACAGGGAGGAAAGGAGAAAGCGAGCTCCAAAGCAACTAACTGTGCTGCCGGTAGTACCATGGCAAGGGAGGAAAAGGACCTTGGACCTCCTCTCAGGTGGAGGAAGAACCGCCACAGACAGGACAGTGAGAGCAAGATTTATTTAAGTGAGAAGCTTCCCACTACAGCCAGGGGGGTGGGGGCTCCAAGAGAGTAAACTTGGCAGCATGGGGTCTTTTATGCTCAAGTGAGAGAACAGGGTAACAGTGAACTAAAGGGCAGGGACAAAATCCACCAGAAGGTCAGATCTATGAATCTGTCTAGATGCTCATGATAAAGCATAAAACCCATCAGAGGAGTGACACTGGTGGTTAGAAATAATCAGACGGGTGGGGTCTGTACTTGGTCTTGATAAAGGCAACTTCTCGGGGCTTCCAGTTAGATCGCTGGAACTCTCAAAGAATGAGATGTTCAACATGCTGAAGTAATTCTTGAGTGAAATTATGTAAAATGCAGTGCACAGTTGTAAAATGATGGCAAACTCATACTGTGCTTACTTCAAGCTTCAGCACTTCACTCAGTGGTTAGTCACTTTATCAGGGCTGATCCCACCCCCGGCAGCTCCGTTGAACTGACCAGACACAGCCTGTCCTGTGTGCACGTGTCAGTGCAGGTGACAGGGCTGGCTGCCCTCCCTCAGGATCACAGGCCGGCACCTCAGTGTACCTTGCTTAAAAACTCTTTTTCACACTGCAGAAATTAAGGAAAGGTAAGTGATGCATTGATTGAGCACCACTGGGAACATTTGCATCCCTGGTCTACACTCAAGCACTAGTCCAAGTAGGATTCTAACTTCCCAGTAATGAACACCCTGACAGGCAGCAAAGTGATAGGTCACATACTTGGGTCCCTGTCACCCACGTGGGAGACAGGGGCTGAATTTTGGAAGATCTATGTCTCTGCCATTCAAATAAGTGAAACTTATAAAGCCAAAATCTGGAAAGAAAACAAGAAAGGAAAACATGAAGGTGAAACAAGAAAAAAAAGGATTTGGCACTAGGAAATTGTGAAGATACTACAAGGAATAAAGGATGCCAAATACAGCTTGGATGTGTTCAAAAGAATACTGCTTTCTAAGGCAGAGAAACAAAAACTGAGAAAGCTTCTAACAGTTAACTTGTTCCTGAAACCCAACCCAGACGTCCATGTAAGAGAGTAAACCCCAATTACTTGAGCCACCTATCATCCCTGCCCCATACAGTCTGCTTTAGTAGGAAGCTGGAATCAAGAGCTAAAGCCAGGAATTGAGCTCAGGTATCACCACGTGGCATAAAACCATTTAAACCACAAGGCCAGGCTAAATGTGTGCTCCAACTTTCCCCATACTCTCTGGAGTCCCAGCTCACACGAGATGCCCTTACAGAAAACTAGCCATACAACATGCACTGCTCCATCTCTCAAGACTCACTCAGTCCCAAAAGGTTTCCTCAGTGGGCAAATGGGAAACGGGAAGCCTCGGGCCATCAAGGTCTGTGCCACAGCTGCCTGAGCCCTGCAACCCTTGAAGGGCCTGCGTCGTACTTGAGGAGCTGCCAGAAGACAGCCACAAGAG